TGTTTCTACACATGTACCTTCTCACATGTCTGCGAGTCTGTGTGTGTGTTTTTAAGTGTGCCCATATGTATGTCCCCTGAATTTGTACATAAGTCCATGTGTATGTATGTTCCATATGCCTGCTGTGTTCATGTGTTTTCTGCTGAGCCACTGAGTACATGATGTGCATGTGTGAGTATGGGTGTGTCCCCTGAGTTTATCTCTGTATATATGGGCAAATTCTGTGTATGGATACTAGAAGTCCTCTTTCCACCTAGGTTCCCTCAGCTCTCAGGCAGCTTAATCTCATTCTTCCTGCTGTGGCTGTTTCTGCTGCTTCTGTTTTCTTCTTCAGATGCTGAAATTAAGTAAATGGAGCAATTAAGTGGAGTCCCCAAGACAACCATCCTACCAGAATCCCCTTCCAGGAGCTAAATAAGTACATGCACACCCATGCACAGTACTATCTAGGCACCCCAGGGCCCCCAGACTGCATATGCTATGGCATTAACACAGCAGTGATCTGCACACAAACAGCATTGGGGATTTCTTTGTCCACTTGCTTCATTTGTATTTATCCTTCAGGTCTCAGCATATAGGTCCCTTCCTCCAGGAAGCCTCTTTATGTGAGTTCAGTGGAGACAGGACCTGGTGCTGTCTCAGTCACTACTTTGCTGCAGTGTCATCTAGCATACAAATCTACAATAAGTACAGAACTAGCATCTTTGCCTCTGCCTGTCTCTGTTTCCAAACCCCTCTTTATGTCTCTGAATACTTCGGTCTCTTCAGGACACATTTGAGGTGCTTCACCCTCTCAATTCACCAGTTTTTGACATATCTGTGGTGAAGAGTTCTATGCACATTGCAAATGTCCCAGGTTTAGCCCATTGATTCTCTCAAAGTGTGATTCCTGGACCAGCAGCATTAGCATCACTTGGGAATTTGTTAGAAATACAAATATTTGGGCCCCATCTCAGACCTACTGAATCAGAAACTCTCAAGTTGGGGCCTGGAGATCTATGATTAACAAGTCCTCCAAGTGCTCTTAATGCAGCTAATATGTGAGGATCACTGGTCTAGCTCACACAAAGCACCCCTCCCTGCTTTTCTGCCTCAGATCACAGATGGTTCTTAGTACCAACCCCTCCCTCCAAAGGGTTAATAATCACCAAGGTCATAAGAATGGGTGGATACGCCCTAGTTGGTGTGGTTCAGTGAATTGAGTACTGGCCTGAAAACCGAAAGGTCACTGGTTTGATTACCAGTCAAGGCACATGCCTGGGTCGTGGGCCACATCCCCAGTTGGGGGCATACAAGAGGCAACTGACCGACGTTTCTCTCCCTCACTTTCTCCCTCTCTTACCCTCTCTCTAAAAGTAAATAAATAATAAAGAAATAAAAATCTAAAAAAGAAGAATGGGTGGATAAATGCTCTGAACTTTGTAAGGGGAAAGAGGATGAAAGACAATTCTGATGTGTTCTACAAGGTTCCTTAATGTTCCTGAGAAAAACTGATCCCTAGTTGCCTGGAAAGGAGACCTGCTTTTCATCTCCACCTTGTATTCACTATCCCTCAACTGTTTCAGTCTGCCCCCTCCCTTGCTCATTTCTTGGGATCACCCCCCAACAAAGCAGTTCCACTGAATTCTAATTCCAGTCTGCTCCCAGGATTATCTTCAGGTGTTTCCCTCTGTCTCCCACTACCTTCACCATTTCTAAAGCATCCCTGAAGCTTCTGTGTTCTTCTTCTGAGTGTCTGTGTAACCAGTATCCACTGTGCTGGGCCAGGAGCACTGATGAACTTTGCTAGTGATCTGCAAAGATGAGCACTAGAGCTGAGTTAATTTTAGCTGCAATTTTTCAATACACATATGTGGAAAGAGCCAAAGTCTGTTTTAAAACCTTCAGCAGATTCCAGGACTTCCGCCAAGATGGAGGCATAGGTTGATATGCTGTGCCTTCTCACACAACCAAGTTTAGAGACAACTAAACATTAGCAACAGAAAACACAGCCAGAACACAGAAAATTGAACTTTTCGGAAGTCTGTTAACAACAAATTCTTCAGTCTGACCGGTAAGGAGCGAAACCAGCAACTGGTGGAGCGGGGTTGCACAGGAAAACTCGGTAAGAGGGACTCATGCGCGCGGAATCCAGGTGCAGGGTTGGACCTAGTGAGCGACCGAGCGAGTGACCAAGCGAGCGACCGCGGGGAAACAGCGGAGGAGCAGGGCTGCGGGTTGACTGTGGTCACGCATTTGTGCGCAGATAGACAAGCGAGGGAGTGGGCGATTGGACTGGGACCCAGTGGGTCTCCGCAGCAAGCGGCGGGGAGGGCGCCGCCATTGCCCCGCTCTGACCCCACCTCCACATATAGCGTCATAACCCAGCGACTCTGAGTGGCCAGGCCCTGGAGAACCACTTAAGGCTCTGCTCCTACCCAGCGGCATGAAACAGCAGAGGGTGCTGCCATTTCCCCGCTCTGACCACACCCCCACATACAGCCTCACAACCCAGTGACCTGGGAGTCCAAGGCTCCCCTCCTCACACTTAAAGGGTGCGAACAGACCAAAAATGGCTCAAGAAGATCTCAAAGCCCCAGAGCCTATAAATCTAAGTGATGAAGAAATAGCAAAACTCTCAGACGCACAGTTTAAGGCACTGGTGATCAGGATGCTCACAGAACTGGTTGATTATAGTCACAAATTAGACAAATATATGAAGGCAAAACTAATTGAAATGAATGGAATTGCACAGGAAACCAATAGTGATGAAAAGGAAACTGGGACTCAAATCAATGGAGTGGACCAGAAGAAAGCGAATAATGGCCAAACAGAAAAGAGTCAAGAAGCAAGAATTCAAAGAAATGAGGAGAGTCTTAGGAACCTCCAGGACATCTTTAAACGCTCCAACATCCAAATTATAGGGGTATGAGAAGGGGGAAAGGCACAGCCACCAGTGGAAAACTTATTTGAACAAATAATAAAGGAGCATTTCCCCAATCTGGCAAAAGAAATAGACTTCCAGGAAATCCAGGAAGCTCAGAGAGTCCCAAAGAAGTTGGACCCAAGAAGAAACACACCAGGGCACGTCATAATTACATTAGCCAAGATTAAAATGAAGGAGAGAATCCTAGAAGCAGCAAGAGATAAGGGGACAGTCACCTACAAAGGACTTCCCATCAGACTGTCAGCTGATTTCTCAAAAGAGACCTTACAGGCAAGAATGGGCTGGAAAGAGGTATTCTAAGTCATGAAATCCAAAGACCTATATCCAAGATTGCTCTATCCAGCAAAGCTTTCATTTAGAATGGAAGGACAGATAAGGTGCTTCTCAGATAAGATCAAATTCAAGGAGTTCATCATCACCAAGCCCTTATTATATGAAATGTTAAAGGGACTTACCGAAGAAAAAGAAGTTAAAAAAACATGAACAGTGAAAGGACAACAAACTCACAGTTATTAACAACCACACCTAAAACAAAAGCAAACTAAGAGGACAGCTAGATCAGGAGTGGAAACATAGAAATGAAGATCTCAAGGAGGGTTAGCAACAGGGGAGAGGGAGGAGGAGAAGGGGGGAGAAGGTACAGAAAAGAAGTAGCATTGACAGTAGATAGAAAATAGATGGGGGGCAAGAATAGTATGGGAAATATAGAATCTAAAGAACTTGAGACACATGGTCATAAACTAAAGGGGGGGTAATGGTGGAATGAGGGGGTAGGGTGGAGGGGAATGAAGGGGGGAATAGAACAACTGTAACAGCATAATCAATAAAAAATAAATAAATAAAAAACTTTAGTATTCCACAAGCAAAAAAAAAAACTTTCAGCAGAGCTAGGGAGGCCAAGGTGGTTGTCCCTGCCCTGACCAAGGTCGTTTTACTCCTCCACTCAGATGAGGATTGCTAAGGGTAGTTTGTGACCATCCAGGTTCCCCCAGGCTGGGACCATGACCACAGGCCAAGGCTGTGTTCCTTTCCAAAAGATCAGGTCCCCCGTGTTGCTATAACCAAGTTCCCAAGTCCAGCTTGTAGACCACTACCCACATCCCTCTTCCTGCAATACCATCACCATGAGACATGTGGGACACTCCACCCTTCCCTCCCCTATTCTCTCACAAGAATCAGGATAGACAGACTCGGCTCCTGGTCAGTCATGTGTTGGTGCAATTCCAGTAGGGTCCTCTGTGGGGCATTGGATGTGAATGGGGGGAGAGAGGAAATCAATGGACACACTTTTCTGGGTCAACCTGGCAAGCTGCATGCCTCTTTCTCATTTCCTATCTTCTCCTTCCTCCATGGGATATCTGGTCAGTATGTCTTAATATCTACCTCCAATTCCAGAGGGCACAGAGCCAAATTTTTCCTTTGCATCCAGGGCAGAGACTTGGGAAGGAGCAGAGTCTCCCCTCTGGCCTCAAACATTAGGCCTGTTCCTGGGTAGGGTCCAGGTAAGGAAGCTCCACCTGTGTAAAGGACATCCAAGGAGGTGCTGCTGAAACAAAGGGGCAGAAGGAGACAGGCTTGAGGAGCCAGGGAGTCTGGGATGGAGGGCCCCATTCAATGCTCTGAATGAGAACTGGACACACACACATATACACATACACACACATACCTATCCTCACAGCTGAGTTGCCCAGCTCAGTCTTGTCTGTCTCTGTCTTTCATCCACCTACTGTGTCTCTTAGACTTTCTCTATGTTTTTGTCTATCTCTGACTTGTCCTCGTCTCCTGTGTTCTATTTCTGTCTGGGTGTCTCACTGCCTGTATTTCCATCACTCCTTGAATATGGCTGTCTTTCTATCTCTCTGTATCTCTCATTCCACTCCTCTCTGTCCTTCAGTCAAAGTCTGCTCATCTTTCTTGTCTCTGTATCCAAGCTTGCTAGCTCCCAAGCAACACCTGGGTGACTCCATGGAGGCGTGGCCAGGGACGTGCCTTTGAACGAGGGAGGGCTGCCTACACCTTTAAGCTCGCGCGCGCGGGGCCTGCGCCTTTAAGTGCGAGTGCGCGCGCGGCCCCGGGTTCCGGCCGAGGAGGCCGCGGGAGCACCTGGTCCTGGCCAACCTGCACGGACCCCGTCTGGCCCCTGCAAGGCGCCCCCGCCGCGGCCCCCGCCCCGGCCCCAGCGGGGGAGGGGGGTCTCTGAGAGCGGCCCCTCCCCCCTGCGTCCCTGACAGTTCTGCGGTGCCTTCACCCCGCTGGTCCCTGTCTGTTCGTCTGCTGCCGCCCAGGCCTCGCCCCACCGCGGCCACCGGGGCTTCCTGGCCGCCCCTACCCCTACTGCAGCCGACCCCTTCGCTACGGGCCAGCCCCTGCTACAGTCAGAGAAGCAAGCCGGTAGCCACCACCACAGACCCAGAGCCTGCACCTCTACATCGGGGGCCTGCACCCCAAGATTGGATCCAGAGATCTGGAGACCCTGGGACCCTGATGGGCCTGGAACCCCAAGACCTGGAGTCTGAACACCAATATTTGGGGCTAGAATCTCAATATCAGTCCCTGGGACCGCAATATTTGGAACCTAAGCCCCAAGACTTGGAATACGAATCCCAAGATTTGGAGCCTGAACCTCAAGATTTGGCATCTAAAATCCCCAATCTGGAGCTGAACTCTGAATTCTGAGCCCTGGACCTTGAAATCTAGGGTGAGGTTCCCATGCCTATACCCTGGGTCCACTATTTGGGACCTGAACCCTGAAATTTAGGCCTCAAATTTCAAAATCTGAACCCTGGCATTCCAAGGGGCCTCAACCTGAGTTCCAGCCCAAAGTCCTTGCTGCAAACCTGAATTCTGGAATTTGGGACTAAAGACGTCCAAACTTGACTTAGCACCCCAATAACTAACCCCAGCACTGCAGTACCAGATCCCAGGACTGGACTTAGGACTTAGACCCTTAACTCTCCATTTGGCCCTTTAGTATCCCAAAATGAGCTGAGCAGTCCTGACTCTGAACAGCCCAAAAGGGTGCTTGGGTCTCTAAAAGTGGACCTTAGCGGTCCAACATTTGGGGATCTTGGACTCCACGTATCAAGGCCTAGAGACTCCATGACCACATATCTAAGCTGAGACACTACAGATGGGCAGGGAAGGCATGACCAAGCATTCCTACCCTTGACCCCCTTTGAGCCTGAGGACTCTGCTCCGTGGGGCAGCTTCTAGCTCAGGTAAGGCTACCCAGTGATTCATGGTGGGGAGGGACTGGGGAGGGACTTTGTGGCTTGGGTGGAGGTAGGTAAGGACCCAAGTATCCCAGGGAATTCTTGGGGTTTCTCCTGGAAACAGACACTATGACCTGTGGGTCTCCCTTCAGTTCCTCTGCCTCAGACACTCTAGACATTTGGCCAGCCCTGTCTCTCTCTGATCTCTTCCCCATTTGATGGTATCTCCAGGTCTGTGACCCACCCCAGTCAGTCCTCTAAATTCTTCCCATCTACCTTGTCTGACAATTTCCAGCCACCTCTCCTGCCTGCCTCTCCTGCCCACCACTCCTCTCTCTTGTCTCCTTTCTCTGTCACTCTCTCTTACCACATTTGACCTTTGTGTTCACTGCTCCTCTCTCTGGCCACCTCTGGCCACCACTCATCTCAGTAATTCTGTCCACCTCTTCTGTCTTGGATTGTCTTTAAAGCTCTGTCCACATCTCCTTTCTCTGGCCATCTCTCTACTGCTTCACTCAGTGACGACCTTTGATATCTTTGCTGTGCTGCTCCCTCATCATATTTCATCAGCTCTCTTGCTCTTGTCCAGCCCTGACTCTCAGGTGTGGCCTACAACTGTCTGACCATCTTTGATATTTCTGTCTATGACTCTTCTCCCCAGCAGCTTCTGCCCACCTCTCTTCTCCAGCTCCCTCTGTCCACATTTCCTGCTCTGACCATCCTTCACTATCTCTCTTGCCCTGCTCCCACCCCTGACCCTAACTGTCAGTTGACAACCATATGACCATCTCTGGCCTTTACTGACCACCTCTCTTCTCTTTCTCTCTTATCATTTCTAACATCCCTGGCTGCCCTTCCTCTGTCTGATGACCCCTCCTCACACCTGTCACTCAGCTATCCTCTCCTCCTCTCTGGTTTTTGACCCTTTCTGACCATCTTTTATTATTTCTCCTGGAGCTGACCAGCCCTGACCAATGCCCCTCTCTTTGCCTACTGCTTATGTTCTTAATCATCTCTAACTATCTCTTCTCTGGTTGTATCCAACTACTTCTAATGACCCTCACCCTAACCATGTCTTCTCTCTTTGGCCTTCCTTGACCATCTCTCTGTGACCATGTCTAAAGCCCTCTTGCTTATCTTCTACCCACCTTGACCAACCCTCCCATTCCCTGACCATCGCCAGTCATTTCTAACTACATCTCTTCCCTCTGACCATTTTTGTTAATTTCTGCCCCCTCTGTCCTCCCAAGACATATCTGTCTGAGTCTTTGACCATTTTCCCCAGCTTTTGATATGTCTGACCATTTCTCTCTGACCATCTTTAACCAACTCTTCTGCTCTCAGCCCATTGTGACCTTCTCTCCCAGCCTTGGACCCCGCCCCCCCCCCCCGCACCCTTCTTCTGGCCTTAGCCTGCCCTAATGCCTCCCTTCTTCCCTGCAGGCCACCCCTGCCCGAGATGGCCATCCTCCCGCTGCTCCTTTGCCTGCTACCACTGGCCCCTGCCTCATCTCCACCCCAGCTAGCCACATCTAGCCTGTGTCCCCGCCGCTGCCACTGCCAGACACAGTCACTGCCCCTAAGTGTGCTGTGTCCAGGGGCAGGCCTTCTGTTTGTGCCACCCTCACTGGACCGCCGGGCCGCTGAGCTGCGCCTAGCAGACAACTTCATTGCAGCTGTGCGCCGCCGTGACCTGGCCAACATGACGGGCTTGTTGCACCTGAGCTTGTCACGTAATACCATCCGCCATGTGGCAGCCGGCGCCTTTGCTGATCTTCGTGCCCTCCGTGCCCTGCATCTAGATGGTAACCGGCTAACCTCACTGGGGGAGGGTCAGCTGCGCGGCCTGGTCAATTTGCGCCATCTCATCCTGAGCAATAACCAGCTGGCAGCACTGGCGGCTGGTGCCCTGGACGACTGTGCTGAGACACTTGAGGACCTCGACCTCTCCTACAACAACCTGGAACAGCTGCCCTGGGAGGCTTTGGGCCGCCTAGGCAACGTTAATACATTGGGCCTTGACCACAACCTGCTGGCTTCTGTGCCTGCCGGCGCCTTTTCCCGCCTACACAAGTTGGCACGACTGGACATGACTTCCAACCGCCTGACCACCATCCCACCCGACCCACTCTTCTCCCGGCTACCACTGCTAGCCAGGCCCCGCGGCTCACCTGCCTCTGCCCTGGTGCTGGCCTTTGGTGGGAACCCACTGCACTGCAACTGTGAGCTGGTGTGGCTGCGGCGGCTGGCAAGGGAGGACGACCTTGAAGCCTGCGCCTCCCCACCTGCTCTGGGTGGCCGCTACTTCTGGGCCGTGGGCGAGGAGGAGTTTGTGTGCGAGCCACCTGTAGTAACTCACCGCTCACCACCCCTGGCAGTGCCTGCTGGTCGGCCAGCTGCCCTGCGCTGTCGGGCAGTAGGGGACCCTGAGCCCCGCGTGCGTTGGGTGTCACCGCAGGGGCGGCTGCTGGGAAACTCAAGCCGTGCTCGCGCCTTCCCTAATGGGACACTGGAGCTGCTGGTGACTGAGCCAGGTGATGGCGGCATCTTCACCTGCATTGCGGCCAATGCAGCTGGCGAGGCCACGGCTGCTGTTGAGCTAACTGTGGGTCCCCCACCACCCCCGCAGCTAGCCAACAGCACCAGCTGTGACCCCCCGCGGGACGGGGATCCTGATGTCCTTACCCCACCTTCTGCTGCCTCTGCCTCTGCCTCCGCTTCTGCCAAGGCAGTTGACACTGGGCCCCCTACTGACCGCGGTGTCCAGGTGACTGAGCATGGGGCTACAGCTGCTCTTGTTCAGTGGCCAGATCAGCAGCCTATCCCAGGCATTCGCATGTACCAGATCCAGTACAACAGTTCATCTGATGACATCCTCGTTTACAGGTGCAGTGTCAAGGCAGTGGGCAGCTTGGGTCAGGGAGTAAGGTGGAAGGAGGGTTAGAGACAGGTCTACTGATACCTAGGCTATAGCACAACTGAGAAATGAGGCTGCAAGGTTACAAAGGAAATCAGACAGCAGAGGTGAAAGAAATCAGGCAGAGAGGGTAAAAGAAATCTGGCAGTAGTGGTAAAATGAAATAAATGGGCAAAAGTAAATAGTGACAGACATATATAGGAAATTAGGCAGCAAGAGTAAAAAGTAACCAAGCCAAAAACATAAAGAGTTGGTGGAGGGAGGGAAGCTTGGGGAGATATAAACAAATTTAAGTAGTAAAGATTAAATAGAAACTCAGCTTTGGGTCGTGCAGTGTGAACTGCTCCAATGTTTGGAGTTCTTATATGGCAACATCTCAATTTTTGATATTCTAAATTAAACCTAGTTCAAGTTCCACCCATGAGGTAAACAGGAATATTCAGCTTGCCACTGTTGGGGATTCCCATCCCCTGTTGTTGCAAACACAAAACCTGGAGCTTACACACTCCAGGAGGTGGGTCAGCACAGTTTCTGCCCCTGAGCTGGAGAGTACTTGGTATATCTGCTGTGGCCACATGTGGTTAGTAGTGGTGGCTCTGACTTGGCACTTCAGTCCATCCTTGCATGGATAGCTGTGGATGGCTTCCTGTTCTCACTGCCAGCTGGGCCAAGAGTGCAGTCCCCAAGGCCTTGTTGCAGAGGACTAAGCCTCCCTAAGACTGGGGTCTACACTTTGCAAACCCAGCTTCTAGATCTCCTTTTCCTCCCCAGGGGCCCTTGCCTCAAGAGATCATCATTTCATCTCCTTTTCAATCCTGGAACTCTAATGAGTTCATTCCACTCCCTTTCCCAGGCAGTACTCAATAGATTTTATGGACAATCCACACCTGAAAATCACACAAATCTTGTCCACTGTGCCTGTGGCAGGGGATGGGATGAATGCTCTCCTAGAAAGTTACCCTCCCAGAGACAATCATAGATTTTTCTGTACCTACCTTATTAAAGCAATTTAAGAGTAAAACTGATCATAAAGCAAGTTAAATCTTCAACAGGATGCTCTGCTACAAGAAAATATAGTGGAATTGGGTGCTAGGGATGAAAGGAAATGGGAAAAGTAAGGATGAAGAGAAAGTAGGCAACAGAGATCAAAGGAATCAGTAGCAGAGCTGGAAAGAAATAAGGCAATGGAGAAAAGTCGGTGGCTGAGGCACATCAGTTTAATGAAAATGGTATTAGATGACAAGCCTCACTGGAAATCAAGACTATAGACATAAGGCTAGGAGAACGTTCATTTGTGAGTTAGAAGGAAATTGCCATCAGCGATGTAGAGGAATCAGGCAGTTAGATTAGAGAGAATCCAGTTGTACACTAGAGGCAAGGAGAAATTGGACACAGGCTAAAGGAAAGTCGGATGGAAGCAAAGGGTCTAAAGGGAGATGGAGGTGGAATTAGAGGGAAATTGGATAGGGAGTTAAAAGGAAATAGGAATTGGAGTAGAGGGAGGGTCAGATAGAGCGAGGACAAAATTGGGCAGTGAGCTGGAGAAATTTCTGTCAGCAGGGCTAGAAAGAGTTCAGGTAGTGGGCTGGTGGGAAGTTGGGAGAACAGGGTGGGGGACCAGAGTGAAATCAGGTAGAGGAGTGGAGCAAGATTGGGCAGCAAAGCTAGAGGGAATCATGGTTGCATCCTGGTGGGAAATTGGGTTGGCAGTGCAAGGTGGAAATGGGGCAACTGTATAAAATGAAATAGTGGGAAAACTCAAGTGGTAGGCCACAGAGGAACTGGCCAGTAGAGCACAGGGGAAGGGGAACAGTGGCAGTGGGGGGAATTTGAGCATGGGGACTAGAGGGAGAAAAAATTGAGGAATTTGAGAGGAATGTGACAGTAAAGTTAGCAGTGGGCTGAGGTAAAATTGGCTGATAGACTTGGGGGGTATCAGTCAGGCCACTGACTGGGTATCAGACTAAACAGAATTCCAGCAGTGGTAATTGAGAGGTCGGAGTGAAATGAGGCAGCTGGACTGGGGGGAAATCCTCTAGACAGGAGGGTGGCAGAGTGCAGGGTAGGTGCTGGGCAGCTGGAGACCTGACCCCTACCTGCCTGTCCTTCCAGGATGATCTCAGCTGACAGCCACTCCTTCCTGTTGACCGACCTGGCATCAGGCCGCACCTACGATCTGTGCGTGCTAGCAGTGTATGAGGACAGCGCCACGGGGCTGACAGCCACACGACCTGTGGGCTGTGCTCACTTCTCCACAGAGCCTGCACTGCACCCCTGCGGGGCCCCACATGCACCATTTCTGGGTGGCACCATGATCATCGCGCTGGGTGGTGTCATCGTGGCCTCTGTACTGGTCTTCATCTTCGTCCTGCTTATGCGCTACAAGGTGCATGGTGGCCAGCCCCCAGGCAAGGCCAAGGTACCTGCACCTGTCAGCAACGTTTGCTCCCAGACCAACGGTGCCACACCGGCCCTCTCTGCCCCTGAGCCCTCTGCACCCAGGGCCCACACTGTGGTCCAGCTGGACTGTGAGCCCTGGGGGCCCAGCCATGAACCCACGGGACCCTAGCTTCATGCCCACCACAATGACTTTTTTGGCCCAAGGGATGGCAGGACCCAGGCACCCTATGGGACCCGGCCTCAGACTCACCAAATTGTTCACGGTTTTTAAAACTGATGGGGAGGGTGGCAGGGGCACTGGGGCACAACAAGAAAGTCATATTTTTCTAAGCTTGGGCCTGGGCCCTTGCCCTTGTCTCTGTGTGTGGAAGTTGCGGGGAATCATGCAGGGGTCTGGAGCTGGGGACACCTCCTCTGGGGAGAGACCTGCCTAGTTCTGTCCAAGGTACCTGGATGAGGCTGCGGATGGTCATTCATTTAGTCAACAGACATTCTTTGAGTGTTGTCTCTGAACATATGCTGGGTGATGCTGTGGTGACTGTGACATCCCCAAGATTTCCCCTCAGACAGTAACTGAGAGATCAGGGATGTAGTAATGAGGGAAGCCAGGGAGATTGTGGGAGCCTAGAAAAGGTGCCTGACTCAGCCTGGGCCCTAGAGTGTGGTTAGGGACGGCTTCCTGGAGGAGACATGTGACCTGAGAATGACATCCGAAGAAGGTAATTGGCCCAGAATAGAAGGAAAGGTGTTCCAGGCAGAGAGCACAGTACAACCAAGGACTTAGTAAGTGCCAGACACTGGTGGTACTGTGGTAGAGCTGAGGCAGGAGGGTCCTGAACATGAGCAGGGCCCAGGTTTTCTAGGCTGAGGAGCTCAGACTGGGAAACTGGAAGATTCTATGCAGGGGAGGACAGGGTCAGGTTGGGGCTTTAGGAAGATCCTTCTAGTCACCATGAGGAAGATGGACCAAAGGGGAAGACTGAGGCAGGGAGCCTGGGTGGAAGCCAGGGTGGGGGCCTGGGTGGGCGAGGACAGGGCTGGACAAAGCAGTTAGGGTTGAGTGAGACAGACGTTCAAGAAGCTGAGCAGATGCGTTACGGAGCTGAAGGGCCATAGGGGAGGGAAGTGTCCATGCCAGGGAGGGGACAATAGAGCTCTATGATATAGTAGCAGGGAAAAGAGATTTGGAGAAGATGCTGAGGCCAATGTGGGACCTGTTGGATGTGGAGGGCCCAGAGGACATCCAGAGGGTGACAACTAGGAGGTATCAGGACCATTGGTCTGAGGCAGGAGCTGGGGACAGAAATGAGGGCTGTGTCAGAAGTGATGGGGAACTGAGACCACCAGGGTAGTGAGACAGCCTCTGGGACCTCCCATGTCTAAGAGACAGAAAAACCTAGACTTAAAGACTAAACAGGAGCAGCAGGTAGAGGGACAGAGTGAAGCAAACCAAGCAGGTCAAACTCAAGTAATTATCATGTTTAATGATATTGAGGCTTCAGTGAGAGCAGTGTTAGGGGTTCAGTCGGACAGGTGCCACTCAGCTGATTTGAGAGTAGCAGGTAAGAAAATAGATAGGGAGTGTAGACCTGTGATTCTGTGGGCCTAGAGCTTTTGTTCAGGTTGATCTGGGACTTTCTGCCCCACATCTCTCCAGGGCTCGTTGTCACTCTGTCTTGGACTGCGCTAGGTGCCCCTCAGACACCAAGAGGTTCAGAGGACCAAACCCCAGGTCTTAGAAATTTCAGGCCTCCTTAAAGATCCAGAAATGGAACTAGCAGTAAGGGTTAGAATACTCTTTGCTTTCAGGCTGCTTCTAGTGGTGGGTCCAGAGGAAGAGATGTGGAGGGAATTTGGGTCCTCTAAGTCTTCTCCGCAGTGATGCTGGTGTGAGGAACAGGGAAAAGAGGGCCCAAGACTGGGCTGGCTATTCTCATGATGTGGGGTGCTGGGGCTTTGTTGATGTATACAGGCCTTGGAAGTGATCCTCCATTGGCCACGGGAACAACCTGAGTCCCAGGGATCTGGCCCGACTCCCAAGTGTTCCAGCAGCATCATTAGGTCCTTCTCTTGTTACCCTTGGGTGACAGGTCAGGAGCAGCCAGCAGAGATTGGGAGGTATATTGAGGAAAAGGCCTGGGGAAGAGGAGGTTTGAATACCTAGAGGTAGTTGCTGCCATGAGGGGGAGCCAGAGTGCACTGTTCTTCAACCCTGTTCTTAAAATATTAACTTAGTCCGTGCCTATTTGTGCTACATGCGGGAGATTCAGTAAGGAACTTGAGCCTGTCCTGCCCTCACATACCTCGCCATTTGGTGGCAGAAACAAATGGCACATAATCACATAAGCAAGTGTAATAATCTGTGTGACAAGTGGGGCCATGCAAGAGAGACATGGAACTGTGAGACCCTGTAACCAGGGGCGCTGACCAAGGAAGAGAGGTTTGAGAGAGGTTTTCTGGAGGAAGCATTGCCTCAGCTGAGATCTGAAGGATGATCAGGTTGCAGTTAACTACACCGGGGCGGGGGGTGGGGGGAGGGTGCAGTGCAGGGGGGGTCAACCCATGCAAGTGGAAGAGCATGTAAAGAAGTCCAAGGGCTGGGGGGTGCATGGTGAGTAAAGGGGACCGAAAGAGGTCTTGTGGCTGAAGTGTGGTGGGGAAAAGGAAGTGATGCTGTGTTGAGACTGGGGAGTGAGAAGGGGGCAGGTGATGCAGGGTGCTGTAGGCCCCTGGGAGGAGTCTGGATTTCATTCCAAGTGGCATGAGAAACCCTTGAAGGATTTTGAGAAGTGAGGAGGGTTGTGATCCTAAAGGCTCCATTGGCAGGTGTGTTCACATGTGGGGGCAAAAGTGAAGCAGGGAGACCAGGGAGGAAGCTACTGCAATAGTCCACGCAGAAGACTGACCCAGCCCAGGTTGAGGCCTGAGTGGATGGATTGGAGAGATTTGAGACTACCTCACCAGAAGCCTCCGCTCACCTATGCAGATAAGGACAGTGTGGATCACAGTTCAACTACCTGAGTCTCAGGCAAAATTGCAGAGAAAGTAGAGAAGAAGAGTAGTGGGGCCCTGGTATCCAATATCCAAGGATCCATTCCTTAGATGGGGGAGCTGACCTCTCTGTAACATAGGAGTTAATGACCTTTTCCAGGTTCAAGCACTAGGCAAAACAGTGGACCAGGGCTCTGCAAGGCAGAGACAGTAGCTGGTTGGGGGCATATGGACACAGAAAATGTGGGCCCACAAAATGGGTCCACACTCCAATGGTAGCTTATTACATGTGTGGAAGCAGGGAGGGTTGGAGGAAGTATATGGGAGCAGGGTGCTCCCACCCCCATGCAGAAAGAATATGACTAGGCAAATAAACAATCACATGTATCTAGAATTTAAAGTTGAAATGTAGCTTGTCCAACACTGCCCAGCTGAGTTCACCAATTTCCTGAGTTCAGGGAGTGCTACTCCTTCCACTGCCCATCCCCTGTCTGGCTTTAAAAATGCCCTGCACATTTCTGAGATGGCTTTCCTGGTGCCAAAGTGCCCAGTTACTGGAGATTTTTTTTTAAGTGACTGGTCCTGCTGCTGTCTGCCTGCTGCCCAATCCAACCCTTGTGTCTGGGTGTGGCTAATCCAACATAGGTCAAGTTTCTGGGCATACCTGTGATCCCTTGCAGGGCCTTATCTTATGCCAAGCTTTCACAGCTCTTTACATGAGCACATATGTGGGAGAATCAGATAAAGGGGTCCTCTTCTTTGAGTCGAACCTGAGCAGTTGCCTTTTATCCTCCCTGGTGTCGTGCCCTTTCATGCCTCACAAAGCATAATAGGTAAGAGTGCTCAGCATTGCCCTGACCAGTGCCCCAGACCCTGCCCTCTCAGAGTTCCAGTCCAGTGGAGGAAATAGATACCAAACAATGGTAGTCCAGAGTGGCCAGGGTTGGGGGTAGGGAAGGTGGGGGAAGCACAGGTGCGAATCATTAGGGCCTGTTTAAGCCCAAGGAACTTTGGGAGTCCTGAGGGGGCTTCTTACAGCCTGGGATGGGAGGTGAGAAGACTAAGTTTTCCTTAAGGCAGAGCCAGCTTCATGGCAGTATGACCTGTGCAGTCACAAAAAGCCCCACTTTTAGGAAGACCCTGCACTTGGTTGAACGTCACTGTTATGAATGCCCCTGGCACTTGGTTGAATGCCCTGCTGTCACTATTATGAAATTCTTAATGATTGAAAAAAATTACTATATTTTTTCCATTACCATTTAGCCCCTTATGCCACCCTCCCCTCTTAATGATTTTTGGATAAGGGACTCCACATTTTCGTTTTGCATTGGGCCTTGCACAGTTACAGGATATTACAAAGAAAGCCAGAAGAAAGGATCTTCCAAGGAGAGAGAACATTTTGTGCAAACAACAAGAAAGGGGGACAGAGGATTATACACTTGAAGAGCTGGCCAAAGTTCTGTGTAGCTGGAGAGAAGCATGGAAGAAGGGGGATGGTAACAGCTGAGCTAAGTGGGCAGTCACCAGCTGCCAAGCTGAGGAGCTCTGATTCCAGGCCAAGAGCACTGGGGAGCCATGGGGAGGAACAGGGTCAGGTTAAGACTAGAAAGATCCACTTGACTACAATGGGGAGGGTGGCTGAGGGCAGATGACAGAGAACAAGTTTGGGGTGGGGAACTCGGTTGCCTGTGGAGAGAGTTAGGAATATCTGGCTGCTGTGGGCAGGTTTATAAAGAACCTTGAAAGCTTGAGTGACAGACACCCTAATGCACCAGGAGACTAGCTGGGTGGACACAAAACCACAGATTGAGCCCACAGCTTCCTTTTCACTTGAAGATTTTCACTGTTGAGGATGAGAGGGGTGTCTAAAGGGTGTCACTGGTAAGTACTTGAAAATCTTTTTTTTAATTGATATTAGAGAGAGAGGGAGGGGGGCATCAATTTGTTTTTCCACTTATTTATGCATTCAGTGGTTGCTTCTTGTATGTGCTCTAACCAGATGGAGATTGAACCCACAATCTTGGCATATCAAGACGATGTTCTAACCAACTGAGTACCTGACCAGGGCTTGAAAATCTTTTTATATGAAAACTCATGGATAGACTGATGAAGGTCAATGAAAAATTGGCAAAAATTTACCGTATAAATGTGAGACTTCAAAGAACTTTATTCTGGGTATATTCTGGCCTCAACTCTGTGAAACCCCTAGGGTGCATCCTTCTCCCCAGTCCTCTGTATAAATTATCAGTTCTTTGGGAACCTCCTCTTCATCCACAGCCCTAAATGCTGTGGCCCCCCGAGCTGGGAACTGATCCCCTTCCTGCTTCTCCATTCACCACCTTCTGGGGCATCAGCACCCCCTCCCCACATGCCCCACTGCCTTGATTTTCCTTTTCTGTTGATGACCTCTACTGTTTCTGTCTCCAGAACTGGCACCTGTTCTATCCCCTTAGACCTCTCACATCCACTGGGTTCTACACTAGCCTTAGCTTCTTCCCCAAACTGAAGAATCTGGGAAGGATCTTAAGTGGGTGATAAATGAAGCTATTCTAAGAAAGTCAGTTCCTCCTTTAATTCTCTGCTACTCCCCCTACAAAGCAAGGGTTCTGGGGGAGAAGGGGGCTAGGAGTGCAGGCTTCTAGGACTTAGGGGAGGAGGGTGCTAGAAACTGTATCCGAGGTCCCTTGCTTGTCCCTGTCTGGAACCAGTCTTGTCCTTCCTCCATGGATCGCCTGGATCATCCATGAAGCTCCATTGTCCTCCAGCTCAGACTGCTCTAGGAGGATGAGAGTAATGAGGAAGCCATTGTCTTCCCTTGGGGAGCTCCACCCCAGATTCTTCAGACCTCCACATCTGGCAGAGGGTACCTTCTCCTGCCTCTGTCTCTAGTTACTTCCATGACCTAGGAGTGCAGGTCTCCAATTCTCTATTCCCTCAGACACAGACCCCTCCTTTCTCAGAATCCAGGAGTCCTGGCTCTTTGCCCCCAACTCCCCGGGACCCCAAAAGTTCAAGCCTCTCCTCAGCAGGCTCAAGAGTCTGCCCCTCTTTTCTTAGGAACCATGGTATTCCTGCCTTGCCCCCTTTACTACTCTAATTCATAATTTTCTCTCTCAAACTTGGACCCCTCTCCCCTCCAAACACAACCATGTCCTCCACACTCACGGGCCCTTTTCTGAAGAAATCTCTTGTTTCTCTCTTGGTCTTTATATCTCTCCCCCACTCTTATCTTTTCCTCTTCATTCCTTATGCTCTCTGTCCTTCTCCCAACAACCATCTCTCCTTTTGGCTGTAATTTTCTTGTATTTTTCCTCTTCCTCTTTCAGTGTTTCTGCTCATCTCAGTTTCTCCTCTCCCCATAACTGTCTCTCTCCTCTTCTCTCTCTGTCCCTCTTCCCTCTCTCTCTCTATCTTCTTCCCCTTCTCCCTGCCCTGCCCATTTGGTTAAGCCTTATTATGATCAATGGCACTAGGTTAGGCTGAAGTCAGTCCTTGTAGGGACATCTGCATGCTGACCCAGGGAGTGTGTCAAGGGCTAGACCCAGGCATCTGGGACTGTAAGTGCCCCCACAACATGCCTGGCCTCGGCCCAGCTCTGGGCAGGTGAGACTCCCAGCTTTACTTTTTTTCTCTAGACTCGAAGGTGGAGCCCTTTTCTGGGATTCCCCTGTTGCTTCCCTCTGGTTTTGCAGTGAGAGGGTTGGAGGCCAGGCCAGGCTCAACCACAGTGGTGTGCCTACCTAGCGCTGTGAGTCCATGAGGCTTTCTGTGCGTGGCTGGCAGCAGGGCGTGCCTAGCCATGTTTCAACAGGTAGGAGTGACAGTGGAGAACATGTGTGGGCATGCCCACCTGGATGCAGAGCTAGCACTGCCACACTGCCTGCTGGGTGATGGCTGCATGGTGGTGACACTGGCACCATCATGGCAGCCCCATGACTGGTGAAGGAGTTTACCTTGCCAGTGCTGCTGAACAGCGTTGAGCATGCCGCCTACCAGCTACTTCTCGAGCATCCTGAACCCTTCTAGGTGCTGCAGGTACAGAGCACAGAACTTACTGGGCCCCCATTGTGGCCACTCATCCCGTCATGCTACTGCTAGCCACAGTTGTCTGCAAGCAGGAGACAACACCTGTAGCCACATGCCTGAACAATTGCTGCCACAGAGTTGCTGGACCTATGACTACACAGTGTCCCACCCCCCTTTGCTCCTGTGGGTGCCAGGCCAGAGACCTTGTGTATGGACCACTGTCAGCCAGGGCAGACTGCATTTTGGGGAGGGCCGGGGAGAAGGTGCTGAAGGGGTGTGGGCTCTGAGCCCTGGCACCATGCTGCATTTTGAGGTGGATCTGGTGTGCCTGCTTGTGATACTTTCCTCTGCTCACATGCAAGTGCTTTTCCTGGCTACGCCTGCACCCAGTAGGGGCGTCACCTATGATCCCTTCTTCAGTTCATGCTCTGGGTGGGCACGTTCAGCCACAGCTTCCAGGTCACAGTACAGTGGGGCTTTTCTGTTGTGGG